CGTCCGCCAGCCTCATGACTGACGGAAGTGCGATGCAAGTTGCCGAAGCACTTCCAGAACCGTCACCGGTACGAAGATATTCACGACAGGCAAGATTCATTCGAGAAGGCGTGAAAAGCCGTGTTCCCTGGCGCCATCGGAAACGGCGCAAGAGGCAGCCAGAAACACAGGCGGAGAAGGAGATGAGGGCTGCGGATCGTGAGAAAGCTCAAGATAACCTCAAAACACTCCTTGGTGAGGCTCGGGCGAAGGTTTGGGACATTGCCGAAGACCTCCACAAGCAGACCGAGAGCCATTCAGCGATATATTTTTACCATCTTCTCATGCAGCACTCTAGAAAGACGGTGAAAACCCGTGAGATTAACCCCTGGAATGCATATCTACACATGCGCCTGAAGCAGATTAACAAAGGTGCGTGTGAAACGTTTGATGGCATTGCTGTGTTAATAACAGCACCAAATAGAGACTCCCGAGGGCGGTTCTCGACGCAAGCCCACAGAGCTCGCAGCCATGCTAAAGGCCGAGTGGGACCAGAAGACACCAGACGAGAAGAACGAGTGCACGCGAGAGGCAAGGGAGGAGCTGAAGGAGCAGCGCGAGACGAAGAAGGCAGGAGGTCATAACGTCCCACTTAGCGTGTTCCACGATGTACGCGCGACCATCGCGATGATCGAACGTGAGGTACGTGGCCACACAAATGTCCTTACAAACAATATTTACTTTATGAGCAGCTCATCGCACTGTACTACCGAACTGGCGTCGAGATCTTCCTCATGACGTTGCGTGGCGATACCCTCCACTACGCAAAGCCTCACCTATTCTATACCTCGGAAATATTCGAACAATTCTTCCAGATGAGCTTCGGCGTCGAGCTGGGAGACTGGGTGCAAAAGCTTGAGTGTTACAAGCTCGGAAAGGTACCAGGTACACTCGCGCCACTACCCCTCATCTACACTGCTGATTCCATCTGATACAGGGGTGAAAGAGAAGACTGAGGCCGATCAGGCCGAGCTCAGAAAGCGCATTGCAGCGATCGTTTTGAGCAACCTGCGTACGATTCTCTTTGTTCCAGAGTGCTCACCAAGCTAACCACCATCCCGGAACCCTGTAGAAGAAGCTGCGCGTCCGCACACTGTTGAAAAAATGAACTACCTGAGTTTTGACTCTGCCATCACACTCAGGTATGGTGTCGTCTGCGAGCATTACCCGCTGAACTATTTTTGTGGTCCCGGCGGTATTACCACTGTCCCCGCCCTTCGTGTGCTCTTCAACAGCTGGCATAGCGGAACAACACGGTTCCGCCGTCTCTCGCAAGCCGAATACGACGCCTGGGTAAAGGAGTATGAAGCTCGAAGTCGTGCGGGATCGATTCCGGCAGCCCCCGTCTCTGTTTCTTTGGCCATGGCGCCAGTACCTCCACTCCCTATGGGGGTGTTCCGCGGCGTCTTCGCGCTGCAGTCGACACCGGCACTTCAGTCTGCCGCCGCGCAGCCTCAGGTTGTGTCGCCGCAACCTGCCGCGCCCTCCATATCTCTGCAGCCCGCCGCTGCTCAACCTGAGATTACCGCCACACAGCCTGTCATACAACCCACAGCGCAACCAGAGGGCACCATTGCGCAGCTCGAGTCCGCTGTCGTGCAACCAACCGTCACGTTCACGCAGCCCGCCGGCATCGTCACGTCGCCGGCACTTGCGTTACATGGCGCACCTTCGGCTTTCACATTCGTTCCTACCGTCGTCGCTAATCCGGCCACTGTTCAAGCTCCGGTTCCGACTGCAGCAACGACGCGTACACACGCGACGGCGTTTGGCGACGATGGTGCCAGTGCATTAGCACTCACTAAGCGAAAGCGTCGAGATGCAGGTGTCAAGCGCGGTCCAAATATCCGGACATTGCGGAAGCAGCAAGCTCAGGCGGCATCCCAGGCCTCATAGTCACTACACAATATATTTACTCATCACGCTTGCTTATTTGAACATTAAAAAGTATATCTGTGGGTGCTTCGAGCTATGAGATGGACTGTCGCCTAGCGCACAGCTAGGGGTCTCCAACACAGCTCAGGCTTTGTGGCGTTGATGGGCGTTGTCGTGCGTAGGCCGCTCCATGCGATCCGGAATCTCAGATGCCGTTCCTGAGGGACCGGCGCGTGCCTCCCAAGCGCGGCAGGAACCGTCAGATGACGTGCCGCTGCCCTTGAGCATCGCCGCTCTTGCACGCGCCGCCGCTCTTGCGCTTGCCGCCTTGCGCTGCCGCTGCTCCTGTGCGCACTGCTGCTTCTTGCGTCACTCACGCGCTGTCACAGCCAAATAGGATACCATATTGCTGCATGGCTTCTCTTGCATTGCTGCATACTGCAGCAATGCAGGAGAAGCTATGCGCGGACGCATTGCTGACCGCCCGCCCAGTGCTGTGTGGCTTGTCGCCATCATCGGCAAAGGCGACAGGCACGGGGCGCGCGTTCTTCGGAAACTGATGGCACCGGGTGCAGAGACGTCGTCGCTTCAGACGCGCCACGGGAATAGACCGGGGCCGAGCGCCCGCATGCCCAACGCCCGAGCCTCGAGCGCGCCCCACTGACGAGCCTCAGTCACTGGGCCCACCAGCACCAGCCAGCCGGTTCGCGCGGAGGAAGGGTCGTCGTCATTGCTGGCAGCGAACATAAGAGCGGGGATGATGGCGCCTGGTGTGCCATCAGGGGAGGGCGGTGCTGGTAAGCGGGACTGATGGGCGGGACGCCAAGGCCACGTCATCATCTGGACCCTTGCCCCGCGTTCACCCGACCGCGCGCGGCGGAACAGACCGAGCCAAGTCCCGAGCCTCACGCGCCCTACATGCCCGAGAGCTTCAGTTACTAGGCTATAGCATGAGTAGCCTCGTATTTTAGAGTAGTA